AGCAGGAGGTGTCTGTCAGGAGAGGGGAGGAGGGCTCACGGCGGAGGGGAGAGCAGGTGCAGGGATCGGTGGCGAGGGCAAGCAGGCCTCGTGGAGCCAGCTTACGAAGGACAAGGCATCTGGACAGCTAAGGCAGTAGGAGCCCCGAGATTTTTAAACAAGAGGAGACCATCATACCTGTTCTGGCAGAGAACTCTGGAGGGGGCTGAAGTGGAGAGGGGAAGCCCACAGGACTTGGGACGCGGATGCTATGCTTTCTGGCAGGAGACTGAACAGGAGAAAGTAACTAACGATACCTGATGCTGACCATGTGCCCAGCCTTGTGCTTGGTTCTCATGTGAAACCTTCCAGTCCCCACGGGAGGTACACCCCACGCCCCCCCTTTCTGCAAAGAATCCGCACTGAAGTGAAAGCTCACCTAGTAAAAGGCAAGGCAGGTTTCAAACCCACCTCTAACGTTTGTCAGTGTATCACTCAGCCTGGGGGGTCAGCTGGAGGGGAAGAGTTGACTTTCACAGTCCATGGACTCCCATGAATAGTGGCCGAGTCCCCCCAGACCTGTGGCCCCTGTGCCCTGTGCATTAGGGCACTTCCATGTGCCCTGTGCATTAGGAGCAGGGACTCTATGCAGAATGACCTGCGCCGGGGAGGGGGGGGTCACAACTCCTCCCACCAACAGTGAGTGGCCTTAACCAAGGCCAGTGGTTTAGGACCCTGGTCAGTCTCCTGGTGGGAAACTGAGGCCTGACCTGACCCTGCACCAGACTCCTGCGTCAGAAACATCACCATGGCCTTGTGAGCGTACATTTCTAGTAAGCTCCCGTCCCCCTGCCACACTGACTACGGAATTGAGAACCCTTATGCTGGGCAGATGCCCTCTGAAGGCACAGGAGGGGCGGACCTTGGGGCAAGAAAGGCATGGGAGAGAGACCTGGGCAGTACCAAACCCGGGGCCAGCTCCCTGGGTTCTGGCTCCAGCCCTCAGACCACCTGGCAGAGCCCCTCCGCTGTCTACCTGCCTCAAGGAGGTAAAACAAAGGCGGGCACGATGCAGGGTGGGGACCCCAGGAGGCTGACCTGGGGGCTCTCAGGCCACCATGGAGACCTCCTGCAGCTCAAGCTCTCAGGGCCCATCGTCGGTCCTCAGCAGAGGGGACCCAAGTTCCGCTAAACAGCCTGCCAGAGCTCGCCTCGGCCTGGCCTTGTCACCAGGGCTGGCCTGGGTAAGGTCCCAGTGCCAGGCTGGGGAAGGAAGAGAGCCATTCAGAAAGATAGTGGAGGCAGCTGCCTTCGGTAGATGCTAGAATGCGGGGGTCTATCAGCCCCCCCCCCCCCAGTCTTAACATGACACAGATGCCTGGAGCGCGTGCCTCGTTGGCCTGGCCGTTCACAGCTCCCTGTCCTGCAAATGCAGGGCCCCTGCAGCCCTGGGTAACTGGCTTGTGTAGCCCTATGCCCTGAAGGCTGGTGTGGAGGCAGGGACCGCCCAGGCCGGCCTTGAGCACTTGCCAGTGAGCTGACGCTGGCCCACGGGGCTGCTGACAGGAAGCACTGCTCTCCCCTAGGCCGCGGCCCAGGCGGCCGGGCTCGGTGCTGCTGCCGCGTCTAACACAGCCCCCCTGCCCCTGGCCCCAACGACAGTGCAGCTGGGAGAGTTCCGAGAGCATCTAGTCTCTTATCGTGCCCTTCAGAGGCTCCCAGACGCGACCTGAAGCTCCAGGGTCACGCAGCCCATGAACAGCATCCCCAGACCCAGTAGCCCCGTTGTGTGAGCAGCGCCTCTTCTGACCAGCTTCCTCTGGTCATCTCTACATGATATCCAATAAAACGTACAAACACCAGGATAGCGTGGCCTGCAGGCAGCCAAAACAAAATTTTAGAAACCACTAGACACCCTCCACAAATGCCTTCTGAGCTTCCTTCAGATTTGGGTCTAACAGGATTCAAAGCCTGAAAGAACTGTTACCTTCCCTGCTCCAGTTCCAGCCTCATCCCTGGCACTGAACAAGATCTAACCTTAGAATTTCAGATGTTAGAAATGAAGAACTCTCCCAGGGCGCAATGGGAATAGCTTAGGGCCAGAACAAAAGATGCAAGTTGTAGCCCCAGCTCTGCCGCTTGCGAGATGTGTGACTTTAGGCAAGTGACTTGACCTCTCTGGGGCTGCCCGCTGGGGGCACCGGCTACAGGCTGGCAGGTCTTCTGGGCAGAGTCCAAGGACAGACCTGGCCAGCCAAACGGCTCAGGTCACACAAGCTTTGCTTCCAGCAAATCCCTGGCTCCTGGAACTTCACCCTCTCGTAGCCACAGTGCAATCATGGGTGACCCTCGAACAACACAGGGGTTAGGGGCATAGATGCCCCCCCCCGCACAGTGAAAAATCTGTATTACTTTTGACTCTCCCATAAACTACAAATAGTCTACTCATGACCTGAAGCCTTCCCAATCACAAACAGTAGATTAATGCATTTTCTACGTTATGTGTATCATACACTGTATTTTTACAATAAGCTAAAGAAAATGTTTAGGGCACCTGGGTGGCTCAGTTGGTTAAGCGACTGCCTTTGGCTCAGGTCATGATCCTGGAGTCCCTGGATCGAGTCCCTGCTTGGCAGGAAGTCTGCTTCTCCCTCTGACCCTCCCCCCTCTCATGTGCTCTCTCTCATTGTCTCTCAAATAATAAAATCTTTAAAAAAAATGTTTAGAAAATCATAAGGAACATTTATAGTCCTGCACTATAAAAAATCCACTTATAAATGGACCCACACAGTCCAAACCTAACCCAACCCCTCTTGTTCCAGGGGTCAACTAGAATGACCCTTCTTACAGCTGCAGCCCAGCTTGAACTTGGTCCGGAAAGTGTTGGTCTGTATTTCAGAAATGCCCAAATCATGGGAAAGTGGTATGTCCCCTAGGCATATCCAGTCTGAGAGTCCAAAGAACAACAAACCAGCCAAGAAACAGAAGCTGCACTTCCTATGTGTGACCAGCCAGCCCTCTGGGCAGTTCTGCAAAAAAGGAAACCACTCCACTGAGCCTAATTCTATTATCCGAGTTGCTGTGCTCACTGTTTCCTACGGGATTAATACTCCCTGAAATAACAAACTTCATAGTCAAGCTCTGAATTTGGTCGCAGTGGCTTTGTCTGCTTCTTTCCCAGGGCAAAAGAGTATCAGCAGATGACCCTCCAGTCAGCTTTCCACAAACATACTTCTGCACCGTGTCTGCACTTGTAGGAACGTAAACGTGCTTCTGGAAAGCATGTATACCTGCAGTTTAACTCCTCACCAGACTCCGCTGAGGTCTTAGACTCTTGTTTGGCATCAGAATGACCTGCAGTCCTTGTTAGCAGAATTCTTGGGCCCCCACCTCAGGAATGCAGTAAGACTCTCAAAAGTTCCCCTAGGTGGAGATAGAAGTAACTATTAGCATCTTCCCAATTTCTGGCCGGAGAGTGGAGCGGTGGGAGAGGCTTACGTTCTCTTACATCCTTGTACCCTGTGTGAGACCCTCCCCATAGCATGCATCCCTCTCCCACCTCCCACCCCTCTTCACCCCCCCCACATGCAAATGCACACACACCAGCAGGGAGTGCTGGTTCTACAAGAAGTGCCACATGCCACAAGCTGACACCACAGAAAAAAACTCCTTGACCAAACACCTGACTCCACCTACATGGCTGATTGAGTCAGGCAGCCGTGGCCTGTGACGCTTCTTGGGAGGCCTGTTAATAGAGACTGTTGCTGAAAGCACTGCTTGGCAGTAGAGGAAATCAGAAATTCAGGATGAAAGAATGACAAGCAGAAGTATTTTGATTTAAGCATAACTTTTTTGCCTCCCAAATAAATCGGAAAGGAGATAAAAGCTTGGTATTTGGATACACATTTGAAGAAAAAGATTCCCAGCTTTTTTACGCCAACTTCCTCATTCAATAAGAGGAAGGAACTGTGATCTTAACTCTAATTGTCTGAAATACCCAAACCTCCACGCCTTATCCAATTTATGGAAGGCCAAGTCCTTCATCCCCAATTCCCATGTGAATAATTACACAAGAGGTAAGTTAAAAATGCTTCCTTTATTATATAAAGCCAATACTGCTACTTCTAAGTTCAACTGTGTGCATCTCTATATTGTTCAAAGTGTTATGCCTGTGATGTTAAAGACAATCACTTCCAAGTGTCATCAGGTAGTGGCTTCCTGTGGGTGTCATCCATTATCCCTGCTCCCCATCCCACATACAATCAACAAACTGCTCTAGGAAATTAGGAAGTTCTCCCAGGCCCCAGCATACACATATACTTAGTGTTCTTCCACACCTTACTGTACCAGCAGCAACAAAATTCTGGAGACACAGTTGTTACAGGTGCCCCAGCTTGTCAATATACCATGTTACCATCTTCATTAACAAAGTGTTATAATTACAATGGAGCCTTAATTTGCATTATAATTAGTTGTTACAATGTATTGTACATTCTCCTGAGGACACACCATGATTTTATTTCCAAGATGCAAGGTCACTCTCCAAACAGTCTCTCAACTAGCAAGTGGAGTGCTCACTGCAGGTGCAGGGAGCTGCTTCCTGCGTTCCAACTGCATGCTCAAAATAGTGCTTTGCAAGATCAGCGCTGGTTAGAAGTGTGCACAATTCTGAGGCAGTCTCCATCACACATTTGCTAGAATTAAAAGACTGCCTGACTTAGTCTTACTGTAGTTAGTATATTAGTGCTGTTACATGTGGTAAGGAGATTTATTTTCCATTATGCAGTTTAGCTCAAAAGACAGTAAAGAATTTGGGCCAAAATTATAACCAGATTACGACCAATTCTCTAAGCAAAAGAAACAAAGTAACTGCTGAGGTTACAAAGATGCAATAATTCTCTTCATATGGCCCTTGTACTGTTTGGTGAATTGCATTATTAAAAATCGTGAGTTTAACAAAAACCTTTACAAGCCAACTCATCAAAACAGGCATTTGGCCAATAAATTTAATTTCACACCAATAAAACTTTAGATTTTACATTTATTTAGGGCCATCTGCACGTTTATAGAATATTTAGTTTACTTTAACAGATGACAAGACAGCTCCCCCTCTGTGAGACCCTGGCCTAAACATATTTGCTTTACTTATATAGCAAGAGGATAATATTAAACATGGAAGCTTTCGATTTGTGGCACTGAATGATGGTCTACACAGGGCATCCTTCAAAAGCTACAATTAAGGATCCACCTAGCTTTTCGGCAATACAAGCCCGATTGAGGTCTTCCGGCCCATTTGCTTGACATTCGTGTTTTATGCCTAGGGAGGAAAAACAACAATTCTCTTTAAGGATTATAGCAGTAACGTAACCTAGTTCTTTCTCTAAGACAGGAAACTGTTTTAAAAAAGACCAGTTCTAATATGGATAGAAAAGCTGTGGTATATACAAACAATGGAATACTACACAGTAAGGAGAATAAATAAATCTGTAACTACATGCATCAAAATGAATGACTGACAAACAGGACGCTAAAAGAAGCCAAACTTCATAAAAGCATACAGTCTGGATGATTCTATTTGTATAATGGAAAATCAGCCAAAGCTAGTTTATGCTGCTAGAAGCCAGGCTGCTGGCTCCCCTGGGGCAGGACTAAGAGAAAGTGGTGTGACTAAAAGAGGCACGAGGCGGACTTCTGCGGTGCTGGTTGTTAAACCAAAAAACCACCATTCTGTTCAGTTTGTGAACAGTAAGTTCCACAAAAATTTATGATGTACACTTTTCTATAGATATGTTGTGCTTCAATAAAAAGTTAAAAAGCAGATCTAGTAATTTTCTTGGTTTTTAAAACGTTAAGTACAAATATAAATTCAATGCTTCGATTGCACAGCTGATTTTGTCAACTATATTGAAAAATAAGAGTATTTACAACAGGCATCTCTCCTTTGCTCTAGAGAAGTTAGCTCTCCAGTGGTATACTACACATTTAAGAACTCTATCACAATGAAAACTATGTAAAATGTGTTACTGATGGCTTTCTCAGAAAAATTACATCGCCTCACTGCAGAATGAGCTCACTTAGGGAATTACAGTCACTTCTCTGTAAAGAGCTGCTATCTTTCAAACAGCTGCATTGTTCCTGATTCTCCATAATTTTAAGACCATTTCTTAGCTGCAGAAAGCATAGCAGGTCAGCTTTTGTACCACTTAGTACTGACTGGAGAAAGCCAGTGATAGTTTCGTGAAGGAAAAAAAGTGACAAGGTGACCATCTTTAACATCACCCAGGCCAAGTCTTTATAGCAATTCCCTTTCCTTTACTGAAAGGCAGCACAGCATAAGGATGGTGAGGAATCCATCGTCAATCTTTTTCAGTTGTGCTGTGGAATGCTGAGAAGTTACGTTAAAACATCAGTTAACCAACTGGTGAACACACTTCTGGGAAGCAGGGGGGGGCCAACATCAACCAAATGCACATAGAATCTGACAAGGCCTGAATGATGCAGCAATAGGTTTCAAGGAAAGAAGCGAGGATTTCATTTTCCTAAGTAAAACAAGCTAGAGCAACCCTGTTCTACAAGAATATAAAAACCAGCCACAGTAAAACAAAACAAAAACCACACCGGGCCAAGCCCTGTGACCCTGGCTCGCCCAGCTGTTTGGAGCTGGCCATGGCAAGGAAGGCAGTTGGGCAACCTGTTACACTGCATTGACACAATCCAGACCAAACCTCCCATTCTACAGCAAGACAATCAAAGCCCAAGGAGGTTAAGTGCTTTGGGCCAGGGTCACACAGCAGTTAGGTTAAAGCTTAGCCCTCAGTGCAGTCCTCTGGGCATCTGCCCCATGCTCTTCCCATCATACCAACACTTCCTCCCGGCTAGAGGCAGTATGTATGGTCAGGCCATCTCAGCAGGATCCCAATCACCCCGTGGCAAGGCAAAGAGAAGTGGTCAGTTCAAGGAATAAGGGCACTTTACTTTGGACACAGATGAGTCAGTTAACTAAAATCATACCATTCCACAGTAAAGCTAGAGATAAAGAATATCCTTTCCCATGTATGAATGTTTCCTTTTTTCAACTTTGTTATGTCAACACATTCACAGGCAATAATTCATTATGTAGTAGGGCCAATGTAAACCAATGACTCTCCATATGCTATGTGAGAAACTCAGCATCCCAAACTAATTTAAAACCACCTTAAACAAGCAATATGTACACAATGTCCAGAGAATAAAGGGTTTTTGTTTTTTGTCATCCATTCCCCGCCCCCGCCCCACCACCAAGAATAAGGTTTTTAAGACAGGTGGTTCAGCTCAAGGGTGCCGGGCAGAAGGCAGAAGACGTGCTGAAAGCGAGGTTCAACCTTCCAGGTTTTTCCTCACTTTGTCACCAAGGTTCTCCAAAGGAAATAAGGTGCTTCTCAGAAAAGATACAGCCCCCATTCCAGGGGTCCATCACACCTCTAAATATTTGGAAGTAAAACTAATCCATACCTTGAAATTTCTTTTTGATTGCATCCTTGGAGCTTGCATAGATCATTTTACTTTTCAGAGGAGCTAGTTCTGGTGCCCTGGATAAAGAGATGCCAAAAAGGAAAAAAAAAAAAAAGGTTTAGAGAAAGTACAATTACACTGTGTTAAACATTTACATCCGTGATGGGGGAGGGTCCTCAGAAACTCCTGGGAGAGTTTTGCCAACCACACAATTTGTCTAGCTCCCCCTTCCTCAGAGACTATCAAGGAGAGGCACACACAGAATGGCTCAGATTGAATAAGGTGGAATAAAATCAGAGAACCACCAAGTAAAGATCAGATTAACGGGTCCATAATAAAAAAAACCAACACTGGATAATTGTATTACCCAATTTGTTTTAAAATTTTTTCCCCATTTTTATCAATAAAGGCTTGAGTTCAGGCTAATAACACCATCTTGTTTTCAACTCTTTCTGGCCAGGAACCTTCAGCAAGTACAGAGAATAATCTGTAAATCAAGTATTTGCCACCCTGAATTAAGAAATGCTAGCAATTTTAGCATTTTTGCTTCAGATTATTTGTAATTTATTTTTTAGAAAACAAAGTCCCCTTCTTAACCCTCCCCAGTCCCTTCATTTATGTCTGTTCCAATAGACAAATAGCAAATTCTGACCACATGAGTACTTGCTTTCCTTCTTAGCCTAACATAATAAAACATGTCACAAGGATGTTTTCTTAAGCAATTCAGCAATAATTATGCCTTGACTGTCAATATTATTATCTTGTATTTACAAAACTTTTAGTGTCTCCCTCCTCCTGAATGAACACTGGAAGCACAGCATACGTTTCTTCACTTTCTTCACCAGCAATATTGAAAAATAACATACTAACAACGCACAGAAAAATCTCATCCTATTCAAACTGCTTGTCCATGAATTATTTCCCACTATGCCACCAAACCCCAGGCCTGCCTCCGCTTCACACTATCTTGCTACACTTCTACACGGAGTGTAAATACTTTTAACACCTAATGCTTGCATTTAGCTGCCATATTTCCAGACCATTCCACAGTCGTTAGCACTGAGGGCTAGTGTGGACTTCACCTAGTCACTAGTCTCCTCCTCCCACGGAGGGCAGTTTTTATTCTGAGGAAGCAGGAACAGCAGTCTCTGTGTCTCTCAGATGCTTATTCCTCCCAACTTGAGGTTCCAAGGAGGGAGGCAGAGCCATAACCACCACCTTAGGTCTGGAAATTGCTTGAGCTGCAAAGTTAAGTGGGTACTTTCTTTATGCAAAATAGGTCAGGGACAGGAAAAAAGCATTAGCTGTTCTGATTTTACTCTAACCAGATTTTTAAAACACCTTAAGTAAGAGCCATTCCCTGGGCCCTAAAGAGAGCCTGTTATGGGCAACTCATAAGGTTGTACGTTTTCTTAAAGCAACAGTGCAAAACAAAACACTCTATTAACACTGATTTCCCTTTTCTTCTACTTTTATTTTCCAAGTGTTAATAATGATGTATTATTTTCACAGTGGAGGGAAAAAGGTAGAAAAAAACAGGTAAAAATTGTGCAAATGAAGTAAACAGTCATTAATTTAAAAGCCTATGCCTTCAGCTGCCATATCTACGATCAGAAGGGTAGAGGCTTCACCCATGTTACTCATAGCTGTTTTCCCAGACTCTAACACAATACCTGGAATGTAGCAGAAATAAAAGTTCGTATCAGGAATGTGCTGGTCTGAAGTCTCATCAGCTACTATCCTTATGTAGATCTGTTGTGGCTCTCAGACTTGCAGAACAGTAAGCTGCCCCCAAACAAGCACCCTGACCCCACATTTATATTCCACACAGCATATTGGTTTAATCAAGTTCAATAAAGGCTTGCTGAAATGTGACTGAGGTGTGATCTAGAGTTACTTTCCTTTAAACCAGAATTCTTTTGACTTCCTAGCTCCATATCCCAAGCTGTTGGTGACAAACAGCTAAGAGCCTTGTCTTGGCTCAGGCAAAGGTATCAAGAAGACCCTCACTCCCCACCCCAAATCAAAGGCTGTTAACCACCCCCCTTCCATTGGAATATTCTAGAGAATATACTACATAAGAATTCCTATCAAGGAAAGTAGTATAATACAACTAATAAGAGACACATGTGTGACTTTTAACTCAAGCTTAATCTCAAACTTACTTGAAAAGACCAAGATAACTAAATTAAGCAGAAAAAGACCACATAAATCACCTTATAACACTTTTTCACTATTTAGAACAAGGCTATCCAGAAGGGCTTTCTGTGGTGATGGAAATGTTCGGTCTGTGCTACCCAATACGGTGCCACTGGTCACGTGTTGGCTGAGAATGTGAAAATGTGGAAATTCGACTAAGAAAATGAGTTTTAAAATGTATTTAATTATTTTAAATTTAAATAGCCACAGTGGCTAATGGCTACCCCCTACTGACCTAATTACAGTTGCAATTATAGTACCAACTTCCAAAGTAGCAAGCCAGAGGGGGGCCTGGATGGCTCAGTGGGTTAATCCTGCAACTCTTGGTTTTGGCTCAGGTCATGATCTCGGGCTTATGAGATCAAGCCCTACACCCAGCAGGAGTCTGCTTGAGATTCCTTCCCACTCCCTCTGCCCCTCCCTCAACTCACTCTCTCCCCTACCCTTTAAATAAATAAATTCTTCTTTAAAAAAAAAGTAGCAAACCACAGAGGAACAAGTAAAGGATGGGTGTTTTAAAAAGTGAAAGGCTGGTTGCTGGCAAGACGTGTTGGAGAAGGATTTTGGTGGGGTAAACTTTCTTCTCAGGATTCTAGGAAGAATTTTTAGAGAAACGTTAGCTTATAAGTGAGTTCAGATAATGCATAAAATCTAGCTTCTGTCCCTACCCCCACCAAAAAAATCAACTACTAAAAGTCATATTCTTTCAAGTACACAAAAAGTAGTTAAAACTTAGTTTTGGTCCCACAAACATTAATCTAGCTAAGACATTATGAAACCTTGTAAATAAAAATTAAATGACAATGACTGCAGATAGCTTGACTGAAAATCCTTTTGGCCCTAGGAACTGGTTTCTCCAAGTGCTAACAGTAAGATTAACTCTTGAGTCATACAGAAGCTCGATATTTCTGATGCTTACCACAAAAAAAACATCAATTCCTCTTTTCTGGATTCCTTGGTTTCAAAGCTTGCATCATACAAAGCATAGCGACAATCTTTTTCAGGAAGCATTCCCACAAAATGCTTGAAAGGATCGGTTATGGTTACACCAACATCTCCAACCAAGATCTCTTTCCCTTCTTCTACAATGATGCACTTTTTGTCTGCACTGAGACAAAAAATGACGGCCTTCTTTCTTTTCTTGATTTCTTCTGGGGTGGAGCACTTCCGAACTTTCATGTCATAAAAAATGCGACATACTTCATCTGCAACTTGCACTCCGGAAGCCTATAACAAGGAAAAAAAGTCAGAAGGAGGCTTACAACTTTTATTGTGCCAAATATAAAAACACTATGTAACTTTTCCTTATAAATTAGCATACACTTCAAATTTTTAAGGTATACTCATCATCCAACAGAAAAAAATCTAAGCTGCAATTGCTAGTTTCAGTCATTAAACTTTAAAAAGATTACATGAAGTATTCATCACTATTACATAGGATTAGGGAAGACTGAGCTACAGCAGCCCCTCCTACCCTAAAACCTGGAAAAAGGTGCTTCCTAAGGTGTTAGATTCTTTTCTTTTAAAGGGGTTGCTCAGAGCCCTGACTGGGAGTAGTCATCTCCCCCGTTTGGGTATTAATAATACCCAAAATTCTTTTCATAATGCATAGCAGATGGACAGAGTGGCTGCATTGGGAAAATTCCATCCCATCATATCTTTCTCTAATAAAAGAATTTTTTTAAGATTTTATTTATTTGACAGATAGATAGCACAAGTAGGCAGAGTGGCAGGCAGAGGGAGAAGCAGGCTCTCCGCTGAGCAGGGAGCTGGACGTGGGGCTCGATCCCAGGACCCCAGGATCATGACCTGAGCCGAAGGCAGCTGCTTAACTGACTGAGCCTCCAGGCGCCCCTCTAATAAAAGAATTAAAAGGTTTTTGTTCTACGCACATTTCAAAATTATGTGATTAATATTTAGTAATGTATTAATCATATGCCTTTAAAATTTCACTTACAAAATCTCCAAGTTTTAAATTAAGATCACTAGATCTTAACTGTTTCAACCACAAAAAGACATAATTATGTGGCATGATGGAGGTTATTAGTGTAATCATATTACAATATATAAATGTATCACATCAACACCTTGTACCTCTTCAGCTTACACAATGTTATTTGTCTATTATATCTCAATTTAAAAAAAGGATAAGAAAACACTTACTGCTGTAGAAAGAAGATAGTTTAATTTAGGATCATACTGACCAGAAAAATAAACCTTTTACCATTTGCTATTCTGAAATGTGACCCTGACAGCAAAAGGTCTCAACCTGAGTTTTTAATCTTTTCATCTTCTTTAAGGAGTGTCCTCTTTGCATTAACTTTACTAAAGCCGTAATTTTTGATGCTTCATTAACTACTTTGGTTTGCATGTTAACTTTTCTAAAGCAAGAACTATAAACTTCATAAATTTAAATACTAAACAATGCAAAAAATATTAATTTTGACACCCAAAATTAATGTCAAGTAATTTGATTAATAAAACTACATATAAGATGAAAGGACACAGGTACCTGGGTGGTTTAGTTAAGTGTCCAACTCTTGGTTTCAGCTCAGGTCATGATCTCAGGGTTGTGAGATCGAGCCCTGTGTCATGCTCTGCCCCCAGCGGGGAGTGTGAGATTTTCTCTCTCCCCCACCCCCTTCCCTTTCTCTCTAAAATAATAATCTCTTTAAAAAAATGATGAAAGGACAGTCCACATATGAGAAAATATTTGCAAATCATATTTCCAATAAGAACTTGTATCCAAAATAAAGATCCCTTATAACTCATAAATAAAAAAGACCCAAATTAAAAATGGCTAAGGCATAAGAATAGACATTTCCCCAAAAAAGATATAAAATATGGTCAGTAAGCACTTTGGAAAAAGCACTCAACATCATCAGGCATTAGGGAAATATGCACGTCAAAACCACAAGGATCTACTACTTTACACCCACTAGGATGACTGTAATAGAAAAAGCAGTACCAAATGTTGGTGAGGCTGTCGAGACACTGGAACCCTTTTACATTGCTGACAGAATTGTGAAATGGTGCGGCTGCTTCAGGAAAGAGTTTGGCAGTTTCTCAAAAAGCTAAACATGGAGTTAATACCTATCAATGCCATTCCTAGGTATATACATAAGAGAAATGAAAACATATGTCCATATAAAAACTTGTACACAAATGTTCAGAGCAGCATGATTCATAATAGCTAAAAAGCAGAAGAAAGAATGTTACTGGCGCCTGGGTGGCTCAGTCATTAAGCGTCCGCCTTCGGCCCTGGGATCAAGCCCCGCTTCGGGCTCCCTGCTCAGCAGGAAGCCTGCTTCTCCCTCCCCTATGCCCCCTGCTTGTGTTCCCTCTCTCGCTGTGTCTCCCTCTGTCAAATAAATAAGTAAATTAAGAAAAAAATGTTTATCAACTGAATGAATGGATAAATAAAATGCGATACCATCCATATAATGGAGTATTATTCAGCCATAAAAAAATAAGGTAGTGTTAAACGCTGTAACATGGATAAACCTTGAAAAACATCATGCTAAGTGAAAGAAGCCAGACATAAAAGGCCACATATTGCATGATTCTATTTCTATGAAATGTTCAAAATAGGCAAATCCATGGACAGGAAGTACATCAGTGGTTTCTAGGAGCTTAAAGGGAAAAAGGAATGGGGAGTGACCACTAATGGGCATGGGGTTTCTTTGTGGTGTGAATGCTCTGGGATTTGACAGTGGTGATGGATGCATAACTCTGAATACACTGAAAACCACTGAATCATACTTTATGATATGTGAATTATAGCTTAGTAAAGCTGTTACTTAAAAATGCGCATAAGAATTCTGGGGGTTAAAATACACTAAGATCCTAGCATTTACTTAATATTGGGGTAAGTGGGCCATTTAATCATCTCATTTATTAAAAGATCTCTAATATACCTCAATTCTATCTAATCTAGTCCACATCTAATCAATCATAATCTATTTCAATCCTATCTAATCTAATCCACTTTGTTTATAAACAAACATTCATGAGGCAGTAGATACAGAAAATTAAGAATAGAAAACTACTACAAGACTATCCTATCACTTTCCTACTTTAAAAAGCACTTTCCTTAAACTTCATTTTACTGCTTTAGAAGTAGTAGTATTCTAATCTTCACAGTTCATCTGTTAAGCAAGAATCTTTACTTTTTTTGTACAGAGAATAAAATGTTGCAAGTAAAAAAGATTAATGAATACTAGAAACAGACCCCAATTCTTCCAACTCCCTAGTCAGTCATGTGGATCTGTAAATCACAACTGACCAACCCATATTTAAAAGCCTGAAGGAAACATTGGAGACCTTATATCCAACCAATCATTTGAAGGTCTGTGTCAATACCTAAGTGAATTACTTCAAACAACACTTTAAATTCTGACCTGGAAATAAAGCATATTAATCATGTACCAGCATGGAAACAGAAAGTAAATATGTATTCTGCAATTATAACGCAACTAATCTCAGCCAAATCTAGCTATAACTTATAGGAACCTTAAAAGCCTCAGTAAGGAGAAGTCTGAGCTTTTCTCTACCAGAAAGGATGTTTGTAAAGGTTTCTGATGAGAGGAATACTAGACACTTCTGCTTGAGGAAATTAACATTGAAGACTGTGAAAGAAAAATTGGCAAACACACTGAAAACAGGAAGACCACTTCTGAGGCAATTACAAATATCCAGATGATGTCAATTTTAAAGACATCTAGGTGGACATGACCAGTTAGCAATTGGAAATGTGAGCACAGTGTGAGCACGGATCTAATCGATACTTTGGACTATAATCAATATCACAGAGGTACCAACATTAAGTAGCAAAAGAGTAACAAGTCAAGGGGACTAAGAAGAAATGCTCAGAAAACTAAAAAGAAAAAGTAAGAAGGGAGAAAACGGCATCCTAGAAGCCAAGGGAGAGTATTGGGGGGAGGGGGCGGATGGTCATCAACACCAAAAACTGCCAAGCCTGAGAATGACTGCAAGAGACCACCAGGTTTGGCAACTGAGTTTCTGTGCATTTCAGGATATTGGAGGCATCGGGCAGAAGTCCAGGGTAATGGGCTGAGGATTTACAGGGGTAAACTGAGGAGGTAAAGACAGAAAGCACAAGACAGTTAACGGCAAAGGGAAAAGGGAAGACTGTGTGCTAACTTTACAGAAATTATCTTACAACTGGGGAAATCTGACCATACTAAAAGTTTAAGAGTTTGAAGGAACAAGAGGAAAATCAAAACACTAAAGGAAAAAAAACAAAACAAAAACTAATATTGAGTACTTAATGCTGTCAGACACTTCTAAATCACAAAAATTCTGAAATAGCTACTGCTATTACTTGCATCTTACAAATGGGGAAACTGAGGCATAGATTAAGTAACTTCAGAGTCACATGGAAACCTATAGCAGAAGTGAGATCTGAACTCAGGCAATTTGGTTCCGGGGGATACTCTTAATCACTTAACAATCTCTAAAGAGACTGGTAAGATCCAGGGTGCAGATGAGGGAATCAGTCTTAGAAAAGAATATACAAATATCCCTCAATTTTCAAAAGTTTGAGTTACACCAGTTTGTTTTTTAAAAAGACCTGCATTAGTACCTGTTTTCACAGACCAAAAGAAATCTAAAGATTTTCACATTTACAAAAAAAAAAAAGGCAAAAAGCAAAAATAGCACTGAGCATTTGTATGGAGGCAGTGCATACCCCAAGCAGTGAGAACGACCCCACCAAACTCCTACCCCAGATCTATACTCAGCATTTCCACATCAAGCCGCCATAGCTTTAAACCGTGTCTGTTAGCATCTGTGCTACATCTTGATTTATTTTGTTTATCTGTAACCAAGATGTGTCCTGAAGATACCAAAAGAGCCTAAGAAAGGTTATGTTTGAGTCTGGAAATGCTCAAAATTTTTTCCACATAAATTAATGGTAATTGCTACACCATTCCGGCTTATGAAAGGTTTCACAGGCTCACTCTAATTTTGGATAGTGGGGGAAACCTACACCCTTTTTTCCTCTAAAATAGTAAAAGGGAGAGTAACAGTTTGGGGAAGGAAAACACACATTGCTAAAAACTGTACTTGGAAACCTCTATTTCCTCTGTGAAGTATTTAAACGAGGAGAAGTAGAGCAGGAGTTTGAGGGCAAATTAGGTAAAGATTCAGAATAGCTGTTATGGGGAGTTCCCAAGGGCATCACTTAAGGACAAGCAAAGGGGCTC